GTTCTCAATATTGTAAATGTCATGTTATAAATGCGATCTTTAAAAGCCCCATTCTCGCTAGGTGATTTGTAGGTAATTTATTTTCTAAGTGGAAGGTTTGGTGAATTATGACTGCCCTTCTGACACGAGCATTACTATGTAAACATCTGTACAGTCGTGTATAACAGATACTTGATACTTGTGTTTTAAACAAAACTACGGAAAACATTCCTATTAAGATATCAAGCTTGGAGCCAAACTTTATAAACATACAAGAAAAAGCTAATGATATAATTTGTAAATATACTTTTATAAGTACTCAATAAAACACCCAGTAAATAACGACCTGTAAACAAACCAGTAGACAACTTCACTTTGTAGACATTCCAGCTGATATCATTTCACTAACACGCCCAATTCATAGTTATCAAAACAAAAAACAAAAAAAAAACAAAAACAAAAACCAAAAAACCATTACGAATATTTAACGTTTTTACATATATTTTGTTCTCGACATACTGAAGAAAATAATGCTGATTTTAACCATTCAGTATACAGAACACTATCATCAAAAACATGTAATGCAGAAATCACCACTTTGATTTTTCGCTTTGAATTATTACATTTCATTTACGATCTCGCATTAATTAAAAACAAACAAAAAATAGAAAAAAAAAAGATAATAAAAAACCAAGAAGATTTTACTGGAATTCAGAGTGTTTCAATCTTACCGAACTCCGCTGTCATAATTGGAGCTACTTACATTTGTAATAAATATTAAGAGTATACAATTTATATATAATCAGAAAACTTTTACTAAATGGTGTGATGTTTCTTTCTTACTGAACTCCGTTATCATTATTGGAACTACTTACATTTGTATAAATATCAAGAAATTAAGTTATAATTGATATATAATCAGAACACTTTTTACTTAGTTAATAAAACATACTCATTCAAGCAACGATTCATGTAAAAAGAAATTAATATTAACGTCCTTCAAAGTTTAATAAGTTACGGAAGGAGTCTGATATGTTGTAATCCAGTAAGGAAGCTATAAAAAATCATAACGTACGCCAACTAAATTGTTTAATTAAGTCATTGAATGATTTGATCAATTTTTGAAATATTAAAATATGCCTTATCAAATATAAAGCAATTTTAAAGGTTGATTTTGCAAGCCAAAATTATACTGATATTTTCATAGATAATTAGGTAGTAAAACTTAATTTATTTAAACTTTAGATATGTAAGAATGCGAGGCTTCTGTAAAGGAGATTGAAGTAGAAATTCTTGGCTATATCGATTATTGGTTCAAATATTCATTTCCTATTGGAAGATAATTATGATACTTTAAGCAGAATCCTGATTAACTAACCAACTTTATAATTACAGATATCTGCATCACGACAGCTGACTGATCAGATATCGAAATTGCTGGTCAATTTCAAGATTTGAAACTGACTACCACAGACATGGACACAGAATATTTCTAATTTTGAGTTATGGCTGATGCATTGTGTACACGTAGAGATGGTGTACCTTTAAATATCTGATCTTCAAGCTGCCTTGAATCCGCAATGTACCGTATAAAGCCATGCATGATTAAAGTCAAATCGAATTCATTGTAGATCGACATATCTTTGAATTACATAAAGAATTCGTGCGTAAAAATACCCGGACGTGTTATCATTCACAATCAGAGAAATTATATACTTGACTTAGTATTTTAAAAAGGTGTTACATAATACCACTGTACCGATAATCTGCCACACGGTACAACGCGCCAGGTTATTTTGTGTGAATGCCTTAGTCTCACTGACCACAGAACGAAACAATAAGGGCACTGACCATTCATAAGCATTTAATCGCCGATACTGTTTAACCCAATAGATTAGCTGGATACCAGTATAAATAAGTGCCATGGTTAAATATCACTTCGTCAAAATTGGAATTGTTTTTTTCAAAGTTTGTTCAGAAAACAGCTACAATATAGTATATCTAACACAATATCATGATAGAGTTAGCACATGTAATAACATATCCGTTTCATCAGCTGTAAAATTGAAACATTGTTTTTATAACATTTTCACTTGTTTGATGTTTGATATTTTCATGTCCCCGATGTATGTAGTGACTCGGTATGCCACGGTTTGATACATTAGAATAGTGACACGGTCCAAAATATACACGTCATTGAAGTTCTTCAGAAATCATTCAATAATAGACGGTTATTAAATTTATTGTGCTTTCCCATCTTTATATTTTTACATTGACTTCAGCCAATTTTCATCTTCATTAGTCACCACAAAATATTAACTTTTCTAGCCCATAGCATTGAGTTATAGGAGGACGAAACAATTTTACAATGCTGTTTGTAATTTGAAATTGGTGTAAGAAAATGACCTTTACTTGTGTGTCAATTCGACCATTTACGAAGGATGATCAAGTTACAGAAAGAGACAACTCGCGATGTGGGATTCTTGCCCTTTTTAAGTTTGGAAATTTCATAATACATGCTATAGTTTCTAATAATTCGTCTTTAAAGTCGAATACTGATTTAAAACATCTATGTCTGTTTTATATTGCAGTGTTTATCTACAAACCAATAGAAGTTTAACAGAAAATGGAGACAATAGCTTGTATTACGTGTTTTCTTAACATCGCCGTGCTTATTTAATATTGGAATCCGTCAATCGTTGTTCGAACCGCAACTGTGTGACCATCATTGTAGCCCTGTGACCATCCTTGTAGCCAGTGTGACCATCATTGTAGCCCTGTGACCATCATTGTAGCCAGTGGTGACCATCATAATAGCCAGTGTGACCATTATTATAGCCCGTGGTGACCATCATTGTAACCAGTGTGACCATCATTGTAACCAGTGTGACCATCATTGTAACCAGTGTGACCATCATTGTAGCCAGTGTGATCATCATAGTAGCCAGTGTGAGTAACCAGTGTGACCATCATTGTAGCCAGTGTGAGTAACCAGTGTGACAATCATTGTAACCAGAAATTAATCAAGTTAAAATCTTAAATATTCTAGTGAATTGTGGAAGTAGTACTTCATCAGAATACTGCTTAAACGTTCTTTGATGTATAACTTCAGGGTGAAGTGTATTCCTGTGAATGTTTTAATGACTACAGAATAGGGGAACAATACTTCTACTTAATCTTTATGTCGTACTATGATGTATTCGTAGTTTGTATCTCAACAACACATGTCCGCTTTCATTGTCCCTATTCTCCAGAAACTAAATTAACCACATTTCCCTTTTTGACACATCTTTGATGATACTACCTACAGCACGGTTATAATGAAGCCGGACGATTGTTGCTTATAACCAGAATGCATTCTCATTGGCAGTTTTCCCTGCTTACAAAGGTTTTATTTCGCAGTTGTCTCTCTACGGCAAACCTTTCTAAGCATCAAGTGTTCTGGATAGGTTTGTCGAATTGGATAATCGCCCACATTGTATAACTGTTTCAGAATTGTTTCAATATATGACATTATAGTCCAAAATGATGTTTTTATAATTACATTGTATGGTTTTCCATTAGTACCAACGTATGAAAATGTGATATCGGTAATAATTTGGTGTTTACAAAGTATGATATTTCATTGTTTACAATGTATGATATTTCAGCGTTTACAATGTGTGATTTCGCAGTGGTTCCATGTAATAGTTCAATGGTAACCATTTATTATAATTCATGAAATATATCACAACAATTTTTTTTAAAGTTTTTGAAATATTTGTAGAAGTTTCTACTGGTAAAGGTTAAAGCGTTTGAAAGAACCCGATTTGGCATGCGATAGTAATAGTGACTGTTGTTCCGTTTTGGTATCTCCTCGGTTCTCTTGACTTGGTTCCTTTTCATTGAAAAGTTCCTTCTTAATTATGTGTTTTGTTTTAGAGTTCACAAAATATCTATTTTGGCCTTTAACTTATCTCCTTTAAACTAGATATTCTTTCTTTAATAACAAGAATTCAAAATGTACACCCAAATACATGTATCTATAATTTTCCTTATTCAGTCGTGTGCTCATTTTTTTCTCAATGTGAGCGATTTTTAGTGGTCGAAAGAATGTATGGAGTTGTTAGTTAACTTTTTTACTGAAAATATCGACAGTACGGGTAAGAGGGTGTATTGAAGAAAGGAGACATGAGGCTATTTATGGATAAGCTCAAAATTGTAAACAACCTACTAAAACTATCTTCTGATGGAGTCACAGACAAGTATATAAGGTGAGAACATCTTTCTCAAACAAACGTTGCTAAACACAACCTGACCAAAGACTATTAGCACAAGATATCAATAAAGACTTCCAACCCCTAAGTGTCTGTATATATTAGGAAAACGACATTTCGGTAAACGCACTAGGGGGCTCTTGATGTCGTAGTAACCTTCAGACATTCAAAGGTCTCGTCCGGACTACTTAACCGTAACGTATTGACTTTTGTCTAAAATAAACCAAAATCACACTCCTAATGTGTTAAAATAATTACAGCTTACCCTATTTATTCACCAGTATAAACAAACTGGGTCAGGCATGCGACTTCAAGTCAACATTTACAGCGGGGTTTCCTTCCCGACGATGTCCGATTGTATACCAACATAAGGAAACATAATGACAACGACGCTCATTATGCTTAATTCAACCTTCTCCAAATATGGTTAAGACTAAATTATATTGACGCAGGGTTTACATCAATTATGGAGTTTACATATGCTGTGAAAAATGGTACGCATTAACAAACACGTGCTTACTTTTTACTACATCATGCTAAAATGTGAAGCTTGTGCAAAGTATTTCCAATTGTATTCAGCAAATATGATATCTTAATGGGAAAATTTCTTAAGATATATACTATCATATAATGAATTTAAGAAGCGAAAATCTTAAAAGATTCAACAAATATTTGTTTTGTGCTATTGTGTCACAAAAACCGTATTGGTAAATAAACAATATTAAAAGCTAATCTGTTGTGTCTTGTAACAAAAAAACAACTTACCTTTCCCCATTTTGAGAAAATCCAGTCCAGGAAATTTTGTACCCCACCGAAGCACTTTTGAATACGTTCCCTGTCGGACATAAATCCCTTACATATAAGGCACGAGTCTTCGTGACATGGTTCTATGTTACATGCCGGCGTATTTGGTCTAGAACGATTCCGCCGCCAAGAGTCTAAGAACTTGTTCCTCTTGGATTTTTCACGATAAGGTTCTGCGATGGAGGTTGCATCACCGTAACTGTCTAGATGTTCTGGTAAATCACTATCAATAGGAGGTAAGAAAGAGGAGAAAGACATCGTTTCCTCTCGAGACAGTGACGGTGATCGTTTCACGTCCTCCTCGTCAGAATAAACGTCTAAATCTTCAGTAGATTTGTACACTGTCGACTGACTCAGGCTCAGGTCGTCGAACGTGACCCCTCTCCTGAGGGAGCCAAATCCGCTATCTAGATCACTCCTTGACGAAGGTCGCGAGCAACGGCTTTTACTTCGGAACGACACACGTGACATGTTGTGTCGAACGCGCATGAAGTCCGCGTCGGGATGCAATGTTGACAGGTTTAAAGCATTGTATTCCTGATCGGGGATTACACATGTGTCCCCGCGAATATGCATAAGGTCATAAGCAGTCCTGACTTTAGCTTTGGGGAGAAGCATCATCGGAACTTCATTGATAGTGAGGGATTTCTCTTTTCGTTTCTTATCGACCCTCCTTTTGAGACGGAGGATATTGAGGCGACTGTCTTTCGAGGGTGCTCCTTCCACACGTGGGAGACGACATGCAATAGATGTTTTCGGTCTCTGCTTTTCTGTCACCGTCACAGCAGATACTGCCGCCATCTTGAAACAGCGAATGTGTTTGATGAATTATATCCTTATATGTCAAAAGACTACTTAAAGTACGATCCTTCGTATGTAGGAACGTTTTAAATAATCACGATCCATCTATATGTCACACTAGTCTTCAACTTGGTGGGCGAAATCCACATAATCTGTGGGGAGAGATAAACAGACGTAATCAATCTTTTACAGTGGTTTCGTGTGTAAAGTTGTTCATTAATAAATGGAAATGTCTTCCCGTCTCATTCATCAAATTTGAAATATAACGCAGATACACGATACTGTTTTCTATATCCGCTACAATTATCGTTATTCTGATTACAAACAAAACAGTAAACATTGTTTAATATAAATACAATTTTACCAAAAAGAATATTAAAATGTATTCGTTTTAGAAGATATATTTGATTATCTTTCTATATATTATCATTAACCTGTTACCTTGATCTTTTCGGAATCTGCGGAATGAAGGGTCCAAACTAGTCACATAAATGTAGAGTCTAGACTAGTCACAAAAATGTAGAGTCCAGACTAGTCACAAACATGTAGAGCCCAGATTAGTCACATAAATGTACAGTCCAGACTAGTCACATAAATGTACAGTCCAGACTAGTCACATAAATGTACAGTCCAGACTAGTCACCATATTGGTCCTCATGTATCATCCAATGATAATCCAATGAATGCTGATCTGTTCTGATTGTGTTTAATTATTCCCCCAGATCTAGATACACGCCGGGTAAAAAAAGGACATACCTGTGTTCAAAGATTTACACTGTGTACATAAAAGTGAACCTTCTGGTTTATACAAATAACAGGATTACGACAAAAAACATTAAATCTTTCCTTTGATAGGCTGAGCCCGTCCGATATCTCCTATGGTCCGTATTTGTCTTGGATGACAACTTTGTTTGAACAAGGTTGAATATTTCATGACGAAACAAAAGTGTTTGATTATTGCGAACTATCGTCTCCTTGATCACTCCATATTCGACGTGGTGTTTCCTGGCAATATCGAAGAGTACTGGATCTCCTATCTGTTGGAAAAACGTCCACGTGTCGTCCTGATGATGATGAAACACCATACGCCATGTTAGTGTAGTGTAATAGAGTATAAATGATTCCTTGTTTGTTTTACTAACTTCCTGTACACTGATCTGTCCATCACGATTGACCCAGCACTATCCATTACATATTGACAAGTAAATGGTGACGTCTACATTCGAGTTTCGGGTATCTGTTTAACTATCTGGGTACGTCAAGACCTCATCTATCAATTTTAGCCCATTACTCAAACTTATTATCCGCAAATTAGAAAAATGTGTTTGCAGAAACCTATCACGGGGAGATGTGTTTATACTGCCCTTTGTTCGGAGATAGAGGGCCGAGTATAACTGGTAGAGATCCAGGAAATATCTCCACGTTTCAGATAAGGCTATTTCCTGTTGGTCTTCCTTCTACAAAGCAAAAACAAACAAAATATTACATACGGAGCACATCGATTGATCTTATAGACGAATGTTTATGGATCGATAATTTCACGCCCATTGGAACACACTCATATATACGCTAAACAGCTGCGTATAGAGATTACGGTAGATAACTATCAAATATGAGTAAAACAAAACTTTTATATCAACGCATTGCACAGTCAGTGTACACCAAGAGATACAATGTTAATTAGTTCAATCGATAATTAAATCATGAATAAACCCATTAAAATCATCAAGCCTGCATTGTTCTAATACGTGTTCAGAGAGTGTCTAGTTCACACTTGTTAGATTTTTACGAGACATAAGGTCCTTGCTACAGCCACTGTTTTATGAGGATGGGTGTAAAGGAAGATACCAAAAGTGAAAAAAATAAACACATAAAGATGAAGTAAGAAAAGAAAGAAAAATATCAAGATCCCAAGTAATGGGAGGCGTAGATTAATTTTGGTCACCTCAATGTACCCTTGGTAGATGAGACGGAAAAAAGTCCCGATTTTACACGTCCACTTTTAGTCGTCTCGAACAATTATGCAAGGTTTACAGTAGATCGTATAATTGGATTCTCTGATGTCCCCTTATCAGATAACATCGGGGAAACCTCTACCTAAAAGGTGGCGCTCTACAACTGGTCGCCTCTAACGACATGTAGTGAAAGTCAGTTCTCAGTTATCGTCATCTGCATGGTTACAAACGCACTTATCATACAAGCTATCTTTGAAATTCGCAAGTACTGGAAAACATTTAGAAGAAAACATTTACCAGACGTATCATTTGACATACTTGTCAAAGCCTGTAAAGTCATGCCAGACGCAGTGAAGAAACAGAATAAATAGCAGGTTTTGAATTAATATAATTTTGGTGATATGGAAATTTTAAGTCGTTTCCCTTTTATTGTTCCCTTTGGAATCCGAACAACAACACCGCAGTCATGGCAGAAATTTCTGATAACCAATGCTTGAGAATACATACCACATAATAAGGACGAAAAATCGAAAGGTATTGAGATGTATGCAGCTTGGAGTCTGAGGAGCCGCCTAACAAGGAACTGTTATATGCTGCTCAGTATCCGAACATACCGAGGACAAATTGTAATAAAACTGTTACACCTCAGATTTAGTTCAAAAATCAAACTCCTATGCTTCAAAATTAATGCCCTTATCCTCATTTTCGAGTGCTAGAATGACAAAACAGTTGTTTGATGCAATAGTTGTATTAAAAAATGTTGTTCACCTGTGTGTGTTCTGTACAATCCTATTTTGTCATTACAGAGAATTTTGAAGTCAAATTCAGATAAGAAACACTAACGTGTACGATGATGAGGATATACTTCTATCATACTTTCCACAAACCCACTCTTCTCAGTTCCAATGACAAATCTCGAGTAGACCCGAAAAGCTACTTGGTGGATCTGTTACATATCACGTGTTTCATGTTAGTAATGATAATGATGTAAGATACATAGCCACCGGATGTTTGATGTTCTCTCTGGTGGAAATTGAATAGCGATACGAATTTTAATTGCAATATCTTGTTTCATTATTGGTTACTATATTTATATAGTTTCTTGGTTAATCGAGACTTTTTATTTATCATATAATTATTTTTTATTTGTTTAAACAGGATTGTTACAACTAGTGACAGATAAACCCAGTTCGAAAAAGGGTTGTACAAATGATTCCAAGAAGAGTGAGAGTTCGGGTAATACCGATATCAATAGTGAGGATAGGTCGCACAGACCATGTAGTATTGCCAATCAATCACCATGTTTTAGCTATCACTCGCCCAGGTACAAAGCCTTTCATCTCACGGGATACATTATGGTGCAGACAAGTATACTTAGAAACATGAAACAATCAATGACTGCTGTTTGGGGATCACTCAGAGTTGAGTTTACACGGTGCGGATACCTTGTCAGACCTAACTGAATTGAACAGGAGATGTGCCGAATGCATATGGGATACAAACTTTGCTTGAAAATAAAATGAATATTCTAATAACCATAAGATTTGTCGGTCTGGTATCAGTTATACATTGAACAATTACTCGTAAATTCGGTAGACAACGCAAGAACCTGAAGCATTCCTTCTGGTCGGTCTGACTACATTCAGACAGAGGTCAGGGACACTGGATGGAATATACTTCTTATCACTTTCCTAACTAGCACGGTAAACAAAAAGCTCAGTAGTTTCAAGGCAACATCACCTCGGAACCAAGTTACAGACTATATTATGTTTAAAAAAAGCAATTGCTTACATTGTGCTGATTTTGAATGTGTAAATATGACTGTTTACGAACTAGCAATATGTTTTATGTCGTCTGTTCCGTGTGATTAGATAAGTTTTCAATTACAGAATTAATCACGCTTCTTTGACATCTGTATTTTAAATGATAGCAAACTGATTTTTATTAAATTGCAAGAGGTTTTTAATTTACAATTATTTCTGTTTTTGTGCAATTGGAAGTTGACAATTTTTAGTTATTACAGTAAATTAAAAATAATCTGGAATAGATTTGTCGATCTTTAGGGTGTCATAATATGCACCACATGTTCAACTAGTTTAATGTAATAGAAACAGGTATAAAAAGCATTGATTAAAATGGCAAATAGGTCACAACCAAACAGGTTCAGAGGTATAATGCATTCCTTTTCCAAATCTTACAGACATGCTGGAACCGTGTTCAGTGTTTTATCATTGGTGAAAGACACTTAGCGATGAAAAGGTAACCAACAATATATGTCCTAAGTTGTCGTCGATCGCATTTTGGATGTGAGGATCCCAAAACGAAGGACAATAATCACACACTATAACTCTTCATTAAAACAAGAGACAAGTTTAGTGTTTTTCTTCTTGCAGATCGAAGCCACGAAAAATTGTTTTTGACTTCGCCAATGAGATTTTGGTGTTTGTTTTCAATAATTGTATTCCTAGTACTTAACGGTATGAATGGTAGCGTGGAACATTTTCGTTCTAGTAACGTTCTAATTGAACCACTTAATGATCCATTGTTACGCGTTTTAAGTCAGTAGATCTCACTTTAACGATGCTGTTTAAACAAACATTTTACAGACATTTAGCCATTAAGACTTAACACATTTTTGCGGTGACCGTTGCTAATTGCTCCGCTATTTCGATGACGTCATTCAGCAAATATCAGCCAGGTATGCTTTATCAGAATATACAAATACAGAGATATGCTGGTAGGATTTTCTGTAAGAGTTGTAGGGAATATTGATCAAACTTGAATAGGAGTTACGTACATTACAACTAGTAAATGCTTAGAAGATGAATTCGTTAACTAATGCTGAAAGCTTGTTTTTTTTTAAATGTGTAAATGAAACGAAAACTGTCTATACAAGTGAGTATAATTAGCCTTCAATTTTACCTCGGTATTGATTTTGGGGTATTGATTTGCATCGTGTAATAGACCTCATGGTTCATTACTTGTCGAGTAATAGGACATGATTATACAGATGTAGGAAAATCAAGAATGACCAGGATCAATGAA